AATATTGACAATGTCCCAATATTGAACTTGGATGACAAATCTAAAAGAGAGAAAATACCTAAAGATGTGATCTCAGTAGTAGCAACAGATCTAGCCAGGGGAATAACATTGGGCTGACAAAAACATATATGCACAGTGCACTCTCATTTACATATAGCTTTTCTTCTTCTTTCTTATCTCCACTCAATCATATTAAGGTATCAAGCTTGTGACTTCATATAGCTTTTTAACTATAACCATTGAAGAATAGTTGGAGAAGAATAACAATTAATTAAGGAAACAATAATGACAACTGGCTAGATAATACATACTAAATAAGGCAACTACTTGATACAAGTTTAGGAAGATGTGAAGGCTGAAAAAAGATTAAGAGAAAGGAAGAAAATATTTTTGCCACTGGTCCAAAAGAACGCTGTGGAAGAAGAAGGTAGATGCATATGTACTAGGGAGGTAAATCCATAAGGAAATGGCATTTCTCTAATTACAACACTAGGAATACAATGTGATGTAAAAAGTTGGTGGGTTGTTGCGCAAAAACTCTCTCAATTTATTACCAATACCTATTACTGAAAAATGGTTCCTTGTTCTTAAATAGAATGTTTGTGAAAGGTTTTCCCAATACAGTAGTTATGAAGGAAGAAAGAACATCCTTTATAAAACATTCCTCTGGACCTATGCCCAGTTCCATGTAGAATATTTGTTCTGATGACGTACAATTGGATTATACTATTCATTGAAGAACAAGATCTAAACATTGGCAAGCCTAGATAGACAAAAACTGGAATGTGATGCCAGCATAGAATGGAACAAAATAGTTAAGTAAAGAAGATGGAGGACAAAGCTGATCAAGACGTCACTTTGAGACCACTCTTACAAGAGAGGACACATATACTTGAGGATAGAACCCAACAAACCAGAACTGCTAAGAATTACAAAGGCCTTGTACTGGTGTATTAAGAGAAAGTACATTTCAAGAATAATTAAACCTTAAAAAGTGGCGAAGCAATGAAATTCTTCTTACACGGCTCCTGTCAGATCAGATCCCTTGATACAAAGAGAGTAAAAAGACTAATATCAATATTTTCCTGAATACAACCCTGAAATAAATTGTTTTTCAAAACTATATATATATATTTATAGATGGAAATTTTTCCAAGGAGAATATTGATCTATAGATACAGAGGTCGCCTCTCCCATCAAAATAGATGTCGAACTAGACGCCATCTATCGCTGGTGTTGTGGCTTTGTCACCGACCTGAGGCCGCTGGTTTGTGGAGAGTCAATAGATCAGTGTTGAAGTCATCAGTGTTGAATTAAAGTTGGCTAGATCATTTCATGATTAAAATTTTGTTTGTAATTTTTCCTTTGTTCAAAAACATATTGATTAAATTTTACCCACCACTAAAAGTTAATCATAAAACATTCTGAAAAATTAAATAAAGTCCCAATGGGGGTATCAATTCACATTATTAATTAAAATATAAACACAAGGTAATGATATCAAATCCAAATAAATAGTGTGTGACGTTCCTGTAAAAGCGTTGTTATCATCATCAGACAAAAGACAGCATGTTTTAGCTATCACAAGTGTGTAAACAAGATAGCAGATAAGAACAGTTTTCTAAGAACCCTAAAATATTATTCTTAGAATTTGAAGTGGAAAAAAAAAACCTCTTATTTTTTTAGATATACAGTAGAACCTCCATGAAAGGACACTCACGCTAGAGGACACCTCTCTATAAAAGACAGTTTTCATCGCCCAAAATACCATTTTTACTATTAAGCAACTCTGCAGAAAGAGGACACCTCTCCCTAAACAACATTTTGGCTCTGCAACTAGGTGTCCTTTACAGGGGGGTTCTACTGTAATTAAAACCATATCTGTAAATATAATTGATATTTCCTCTTTCTTTCATTATGTTAATTGTATCATATTTCTTTTACATGAATTCCATTTCCCCCTCATACTATTTTTATTTTTCATACTTTTTGAATATATTAGTGATTTCTTGCAAATCTTTGGTTTATAAATGGCAATGTGATGAATTTGGCTTCCTGGTTTTTGCACTTTGGATTTTGAATCAAGGTATTATGCTCATATTTTTGGTTCATGTCTTCTAGTATTCTATCTATCAATTTGATGGGAAAATCTCAATTGATTAGTTCTTTTTTGATGTTGTTAATTTCTATATTTATTTTAACTGCATCACTAATGAATGTAAAAGTTTTATATATAAGAGCTTTGACTAATCCTACTTTTTGGCAGAAATGGTGCTGTGAGCTATAGTTCCAATAAGTTCCTGTATGTGTTGGCTTTTTGTATATAGAGGTGGTAATTATGTTATAATTGTAAGTTCATGTCCTGGAAATTTGTTGTTATCTACTTCCATAGAGTAATTGATATCAGATTGTTGAAAATATCCAATATTTGTCGTTCACTTCCCTGATTAATAAATAAAATGAGTCATCCACATATCTTTGAAATAATAAACATCATTTGTAAGAATATTTTTAATATTTTTATATTAATATTCATATTTAATATAAATATTTAATATTAATTTTTTTTATCTAAAAGAAACAAAAAGATACTAGATACAAAAAAATAACTTTTAAGAGACAATTTAAAGAAGCCTATTTCATGTAAAAGAAATGTGCTACAATTAACATAATGGAAGAAAGAGGAAATATCAAAGATATTTACAGATATGGTTTTAATGACAGTAGAGTCTCCCAAGAAAGACTACCCATAAAACTTGGTCTCTCAAGGAGAAGCTCTCTCATTGGAGTCTCGGTCATGATAAGTTGGTGATGATACCAGCAACTATTTAAAACATGCTGCGATATTTTTTCTCATTCAGTACTTTGTGTGATGATGGTAACAATACTGTTACCAAAACATCACACACTATTTATTTGAATTTGGTGTTCTCACCTTGTGTTTCTAATCTTTAATCCAAATTGTGCCTTATCATAATTAAAATATATTACAACAGTGTATTTTATAAAAATATTATATTTTAATTATATATCTGATTATATCCTAGAAAAATGTCCAATTGCCGTCAATGTTGTTATAAAATCATCGAACTGACTTTAATTCAACACTTACTTTAATTCACCTGAAAGCTTTGATCCCTTGGAGTATTGAATTAAAGAGGTTCGACTGTATTTCAAATAGGAGAATGTTACTCTCCAAAACATCCCATTGTTTATGCTAGTGACTAGTAGTCGATTAAGTTAGGCTAAATTGTCCAGGAGGAAACTAAGGGTAAAATGAATGGAACAGGAGGAGGAAGAATTGGATTGGACAATTGAAACATATTTATTGACACCTAGCCAAAAGTTACAACTGGACTGGAGTAATGTAGAGCTCAAATATGATGTAACTGGAGACCTGGACATAGAAACTGAATATGCCAAGTTTTATTTTCAAAGAAAAATTTATACTTTCTAAATTCACACAAGACTTTTCCTTATTGAGTTCAGTTTCTTGATTCCTTTGAGGATAATCTTCCCCATCATCTTTGTCCATTATATTGTGAGATGTAAATAGGGAGTATGTAAATTTTGACCATTATAAAAGAATAGGCAAAATTTGCAACATCGTTATTTTTAGGAATTGAGTTATTTTTGGTATTTCTTCAGAGTTACAATAAACCTTACACAATATGTTTCTTTATTGCATACATATTGAGTAAGGTTTTTGAATATTTTTATAAAGTAATTCGCAAATTTTCTTATATCTGAAAAAGTTATACTAAAGCTTTTGTTCTCTTAGACTTTGAGAATTATCATTTCCTACTCTACAATATATATATTTTACTGTCTCTACCAGAAATGGTGGGAATGTAGGGACTCACATTGTGTAGTGACTGTACTCTACTAAGTTTAAAACAACTTGTCTACAATATTATAGACCAAGGTTCGGCAATCTTTTGAATCGGAAGAGTCAAAAATTACAATTTACAAAAATATCAAGGGTTTTTTTAAAGAGCCACAAAATATTTTTCTTGCCAACAAGAAATAGTTTTTGCATAAATAATATTTACGTATGGAATTATATAAAGAGCCGCAGCTTCACATTCAAAGAGCCGCATGTGGCTCACGACCCGCAGTTTACCTACCCCTGGTCTAAACAGATGTCATTCCCCAGTCTCCTTCATTACTAGCAGTGGTTACTGTTGTCCTCTCTACCAAGGATGTTTATCAACTTCCCAGTCTAGATCTACTACAGTGACACTTCACACAGGAAATCTTGGTAATGCACAGCTCTATGGACACAAATTTGGACTTAAATACCCATTTGGTAATTTCTCAGGAAGCCTCAAAGACCAACTTTTTGGTCGTTGAGGTATAGCCTGTACCATACTGATGAGAGCCACAGCCCAAAATGCATACGTGGTTAGCTTTTCTTGATTAATCAAGAAATTGGATTGGACAAATATCATGGAACAAACTTAAATAAACATTTAGTTTATTTATGTTCCACTAGATGGTGCTCTGCCATCTAAAATGTTCATGTGAGTGGTCAGGAAATGATATTTTTACATTTCTATTTTTTAAAGAGACAAAGGTCGCTTCTCCCGTCAAAATAGACGTCAAAACTAGACGCCATCTATTGACGTCATTTTGACAGGAGAGGTGACCTTTGTCTCTTTAGATCAACATCCTCCCGGCAAAAATTTCCATTTCTATGTTTATAATCATATCACTTTTTAGCCTACATGTGATGGGATATGAATATGATATGACTTGAGGTTTTTGAGAGAACTAGGGATTAAATTGTGGATTTACTAATGCTAACCTGAACCTAAACTAACCAAGACTAAACTTATCTAAACTTACAATAGCTTATAAACACTTTACACTATAGTTGGGTTAGAAAATTAACAATATTATCACATGATAAGGTACAATTTGGATTATAGATTATAAATACAAGGTAATAAGACCAAATCCTAATAAATAAATAGTGTGTGACGCTTCGATAACAGCATTGTTACTATCTTCAGACAAAAGGTATAATTTCTTACTCAGTACTTTTGTTTGAAGATGGTAACAACACTGTTACAGAAACGTCACACACTATTTATTTGGTTTGGTCATATTACCTTGTGTTTTTCTTATCACAGGATTTCTGAGCTCGAAAATCATACTTTGGTTAATAGCCTGTAAAACCATATTCTCTCTGTCACAAGACTTCACCCATTCTCTAACTGACAACCAATATCATAGAATGTCATCACTTACTTCAAAACTCCGCCTTTGCCGGTCCCAAGCCCGGATGAAAAAGGAGGAGGGGGAGCAGTAACAAGCTCACTAAAAAACCTGGGCTCAGCTGACCCGGCTGATAGTACCCTGTAAGGGCTCCTAATCCAGGGATACAGGATGATCAGCATTTGTACTCCATGTTAGGAGCAGCTGCACATGGCGTCTGTGCCTCATGTCAGAGGCGGCCATTTCTTTTGGAGCTAAGTCAGCCTGCCACTTAGTAGTTCTCACACCACACCTAATTAGTGCTCCCAGTCTTAATGACAAAGGCAGACGCATTCTACTTCACCCAGTCATGATGGTTGTCAAACTCATCCATTGATGAGCTCTACTCTTCCCCGGCAGACACCATCAAAAGTCTCAAGCTTTACAAGCTTGATACCCTAATATGATTGAGTGGAGACAAGAAAGAAGAAGACTTACTTCAAGGTGTCATCTTTCATTACCAAAAAGTTATATAAACCCTAGGAAATTATATCAATACTATATATTTACCTTGTTACTGACACATTTGAAGATTTAATTTAATTGCAATAATTAACTCATATGTGTAAAGTTTGTTATGAAAGGCCACATTCAAATCTAAGAATTAGACATCACTGCCACTTAAATTTTCGAAATATTTGCTTTAAAAATAAGCTAATAAGTTAACAATCAACATATCCAATGTTTTAGGTTCATTTATAGTAAACCTACCTTTGGTCCTGCAAAAGACTATAGTGAATATTTAAAACACAGCATAATAAAATTTATAAAAACACAAAATTTTACTAGTTACCACAATTAAAGAGTCTTTATAATGAGGTCAATCAATGAATATAATAATCATTAGTGTGTGTGTTTGTTAGCAATGTGTATTCATTAGAATCGCTCTCTGACTTTTGGATTTAAACAAGTTTTAAAGGTCACAAAATATATTTTGAATAACAAAGTATTTATATAAAATTACTCTTTAATTGGCTGTGATCTCAATTTGTTACAAATAGAGTATTACTGTATTTTCAAATTAGACTTTTTGTTGTTGAAAATATCATTTTTATAGTGTAAACAAATAATAAATAATTACCGTTTTTGTCTTCTGTTGAATTATTTGGCATAGTAGCGAAACTCATCTTTTCTTTCTAAAGTGTTTTTGATTTATTTTTCCTGGCAATATTAAATGTGAATTAGTAATTGTAATTCTCATGAAGGCTTAAACATTCTAAAAGGATAATAAAAATACAATTTTTTTCAGAGGGGGGAGGAAGAGAAGACTATAGGGGGGCACTCACACAGAGTGCGCAAAAGAAGTATGATTTAGACAAATATGCGCATGACGTCATTGAACGGCTACGGATAGTTTAAAGGAAATACCATTTAAATATCTTCAAACAAGATAAACAGGTTTTGATCCTATATTTTGGGCCATAAATATCGACTTTTTTAATTAAATTATCGTTTAAAATGATACACATGCAAAAAAAAAAAAGGTTAAAGCACAGTTGCAAATAAAATAGTATTTTAAATTTTTAATCATAATAAGTCTATACAACTGCACGCAATTTTTTTTTCTCAAAATACTACAAATAAGTACTTTCAAATTACTTTCAAAAATAATGTTTTTAAAACTTAATAAAAGTTATTTGGCATTATTAATTATAACTAATGTTTTTAGCTTGAAGAGTTGCCTGGACAGCATTCATATTTCCTTAAAGGACACTTCGACTAGCAATTTTTATTTTTTCATTTTATAGATGTTTCAACAAAAAAAAAAATATTATCCTATTCAGGCCAAAACCAATTGTTAAGGCTTTAGAAACGCATTTTCTAAATTTACTCAAATAATTGTCTAATAAAACACACCTACTGCCTTATGTGCTTTGAATTTTTTTATTTGATTATTTGCATAGTTAATATAAATGTAGTAATCGATTATTGAGAAGTTTTTTTATCGTTGCTGTTACTTTTAATAATTTTTTTCCAGATCTCTAGATGCTCAAAAAATCGGACGCCAGTAGCTGGAGAAAAAGCTGTACCATAAATGTATTAATCTATGGCACATGTAGAAAGCTAAGGCTGTACCGGGAATTAATCACTCCTTTTCGTCTAAACAGATTTTTATTTAGACTAATAAAAACGTTCATAATACGCAAAAATAAATAAATACATTTAAGAACAATTTTTTTAAATTTTAAATGTATTTATAGAAGGTTCAATGGGAGGATTAATTAATATCTACACATAAAAAAATAATTAAGGAGGACTATGCCCACGAAAAACAACATAAAAATCTACAAAACCACCCATCTGGCCTCAACTACCTCTTAATTCAGCAACGCATGTCCAGGATTGGGAAAGGGTGACCAGAAACACAACCGCCAGTGGCCTGAGTTTTTCACTGCTTTGCAACCCCTCTTATTTTCTTCCTGTCCTCTGTTTTTAAGGAAATCCCCCTCCCCAAAAAAAAAAAATAATTGAAACATATTGAAGAAAAAATTCGCCAATAAAATGAATATTGATAAAAAGCATTTGAAATATATAATATATATGTAGTAATTTGTGTGAAGCAGCCTTGGTATTTGTGTGAAAAGTGGCAAGGACACACAGGAGACACAAGATCCAGAGGCAAAAACTCATGAAGAGTAGATCTAGATCGAGAGGAAAAAGCGAAGGTCGATGACCACCCATGGAATGACTGGTGTCCAGACCACCTCGGTGCTTAAAAGCTTTGAATAAGAAAAATTACCCCCAGGTGGAGTGGGAGTGAAGGCTTGACACCTGGTGACAAAGGAACTGTGTTGACCTGGCTATTCTAGCTTTCCTTTCATCATACTCCCACACAAGCCTTTTTATTTCTAATTATTATGACATATATTTGAAAATAAAATTAACATAGTGTGATCATCTTGGGGTCGGCTTGGAAAAAGTTTAGGGCTCTTGGTGGAGCTGGTGTTCTGTCTGAAGATGGTGATATCAGCTACCATGGGTCTGTGGCTTGCCCATAGGGATAGGCATGCTGGAGTCTGGTTGGTGCTGGTGGTAAAGAGCTGATTTCCGACGCCTTCGTCCCGAAATCCATGATGACTCTTTCGTTCTCAGGGAGTTCACGAAATATGCACCCTGCTATATAAAATAAATATAATTTGCATATATCCTGCGCGCACTGGGGTAAAAAAAAATAATTTACTCTAAACTAAATTAATGACTCAGAGTCAAAGTTGAGATTAAGAACAAATCATTATATTTACTTATTTATTGTAATGGTCACAGACAATTAAGAAATAAAGAAAGAAAATAAACGGGCAATAAGAATAAATTGGGAAAATATGCATATATATAACCTGTTTAAAAAAAAATATTATGAAAAGTTACTTATCTTATTTGGTGCTTCAGTTGGATGGTTGGAAAATTTCTTCCACAAAAATCTTGGAAGACTACATTTTTGGAATAATTTCTCAGGAGCTCTGTTTTGAACTCCCCACTGCTATCGCTGCCTAGTCTCTCTTCTCTTCCTTATCTTTTCCTCAAATTTCCCACCAAGATTTTTATTTTTTAATAGAGTAAAAAAAATAATTAAAAAAATACTCCAACTGTTAAAATTAAAAATAAAATTATCATTAAAATTATTATTCTAAATATATATTATTTTAATTGAATAATATTATTTGAAAATATTAAAACAAAAATAGCTGATTATTTATTTAAAAAAAAGAAATTTATTATAATATAATAAATTATATACATAAAAATTAAGTAGTAAAAGAAAGTGAAGAGATGGGCTGGTTTGACAATGAAGAATTCTCGAAGTCCGCTTCGTTCTTGTCGAGGCAGCTTCACCATTGTCCACCAGCTTTCTATTAGGCACTGTGGGTGAGCTTTGTGGAGGCCGCAGAAGTGGCCTCTACATTGGTATCAAGTCAGTCACCATAGGTCGTGTGGCTCAACTACAGGAAAGGGGAATCTGAGTCTATCTTAGACTCTAGCTCGGTGTTGTCTAGGTTGAAGGCTTCAGGCTCCATCTACGCCTTACATTCACCTAAGCCTTAGAGGAGAAAGGGTGGGACATGGTTATGTTAGGTGGAATTCTGGGTGAATCTGGGTATACAGTGGTCACGAGATGTCCTAACATAAATACACTGCGAAAATTTATTTTGTTATTGTTTTGGAAATGATCAAATTTTTAAATTTGACTAATATAGAAAAGTTGCCCACAAGTCCAAAAATATAGATAAATGAGCCTAGTACTTAAAGTGTGTTAGGACACCTCGTGACCAGAATATGCCAAAATCACCCAGAATCCCTCCTAACCTAACCATGTCCCACCTTTACCCACCAAAGCTGCAAACCTCTAGTGATTTTGAGGTGTAGAGATGGAGCCTGAGGCCACCTTCGGCCTTGACAACAACAAGCCAGAGTCCAAGATGGACTCAGACATCCCTTCCTGTGGTCAAGCCACCTCACCTGTGGTGGATGACCTGGCCCTACCAAGCTAGTCTGAGATAGACTCAGACACCCCTTCCTGGTGGTCGAGCCACATGTCCCATTGTGGCTGACTTGAACCCAAGCCAGAGTCCAAGATGGACTCAGACGCACCTATGGTGCTTGACTTGACTCCACCAGTACCAAGCCAGACTCCAGCATGCCTATGGGCAAGCCACAAGCTCATGGTGGGTGTTGAAAGTCTTCAGCCAGAACACCAGCTCCACCACGAGCCCTGAACCTTTCCCAAGCTGACCCAAGATGCCCAGATCCTACAAAATTAATTATATATTTTTATTCAATATTTTCTAATCTTTATTTTTGTTAATTTT